TCTTGTAGCAAATTCGTTCCTAAGATCAGCCAGAAATTTTACAAGCACTACAATGTCTTCCTCAGAGCTCTCTTTTTTATATTCAAGAATTGTTGGAAAATGAATAAATTCTTATCTTGCAATATCTTTTTCGAAGATATCCAGCTTGCGATGAAATACAGACATGCTTTGTATAAGATCACATATTAATTTCCATTTCCTAGGAGCTCTATCTTGAGCGCATTTCAAAATATCTTTAAAAAAATTACAACCAGCATAATGCGCTTGTTTGTTAAGAACTCAAAGTGCATTCTGGCTTTGAAATAATACTAGTTTTTACGGAATTTATCGCGTATATTAAAATTTTTAATACCCGACGTTTCGAGAGCTTTACAGCACCCACGGTCACGGGAAGGACTGAGATGTTCAAAGTCCAGATGTCATAGTTAACCGCGGTTACCATAGATTAAAATTTAACTTTTGTTCCGATCTACACAGTATGAACATATGGTATCATGAAGTCTTGCAGTTGTATGCTTGGTTTGGGATTTAATTTTATTTATTATAGGATCCCAAGCAGATGGTAGCACCCAGCCATCTTCTCTATTGAAATTAGGATGTTTTTTGATTTTAATAGCCTCGCGAATCATCCTTGGAAGGAATCGGTGTTCTTTAGCGAGGATTTGTGGTCTATCAAATCTGATGTAGTGACGGGGGCGATCCTGTACGTGTTCACAGACTGCAGACTTCCCGGAGCGTCGATTCTTCACATCAGCTATATGTTCTTTAACGCGGGTTTTAATTGATCTTTTAGATTGTCCTATGTAGGAGAGACCAGATTCACAATCAAGCTTGTACACTCCTGCATGCTTGCAGAGGGACGTTACACTTGACTGATGGTAAAAACTGACCAATCTTCTTCGGCAGCTTGAAGTATGTTTTGATGGAAGCGCGCTTCAAGATGTAGCCAATCTTGTCAGTGTCTCCTCTAACATATGGCAGTACAGCAGGTACACGCTCGACTGTGGCCGGCTTCACTCGTTCTCTGTGACGTAGGCGCGGGACGAAGTGTTGTCATGAAAAGGGTGGGGTCGGCAGCCAGGTGTTTACTGTCACAGTCCTCTGCTCTCTGAAACAAAAATTTACCCACGGTAGCTAACTGTGAAGGATGGTGGTGTGAATACCGTTTAAATATCTATCTGTATGGGTCTTTTTTCTATACACAGTATGGCTCAAGGTGTTATCAGGATTCCGAATTACTAACACGTCTAGAAAAGCTAAGGAATTGTTTGCCTCTAACTCCATTGTGAACTGAATTTTAGAATTTATAGAGTTAAGATGGTCTAAAAATGCAGTTACTTTGTCTAAAGGTAGAATTGTGAAAGTGTCGTCTACGTACCGCTTGTAGAATCTTGGATTTATGGGAGAACTAAGCAGGGCTTTCTCCTCAAAGTCTTCCATGAATATGTCGGCGACAATGGGAGATACAGGTGAGCCCATCCTAATCTGACGTATCCATGACTACCGTGGTGTTTCCCTTATCTGCACGGAGAATCGTAAGTTCTGGTTTATTGCGTAGGTTCTTTAACGCTATAAATTCGTCTTTGGGAAGATTCGGTTTAGGCACTGAACATCGACGCAACATACACGAAATGACTTGACGTATCGCCTCCAAATCTTCTTTCCGCATATTGTTTTTAAATAAACAGTCCTCGACACTACAGATAATTTCTTCGTACGGTAATCTGCGTAGTGTTACTGCAAAGTTGAGGCCTTTGGATAAAACCTTAATTGTTGCATCATCCAGTGTTTGTTTTGACAGATTATAAAACGCGATTAATCTACGAGATCTGTGTTTTTCAATGGTTACTTTTGGTTGAGGCATTAATTCGGATGTTTGACATTTGATTTGGTCGTTAATTTTTGATATTTTTCTATATGTTTGTTTTTGCATTCGTTATATTTACTAATTTCGCGTTTATTTAATGTTTCCATGCAAAAATTATAATCAAACGTCGTTAAAACTTTCTTTAATTCACTGAATGATGTGTCTATGGATTTATTTATGTCATATAGATCGGAGCGTTTTTGTTGGATTACCGGCCGTAACAACTTTTTTACTCGCCTGATTTAAGATCTTAGCGCTTCCTTGAATGTCCTTTTTGGTGGATATTTTGACACATAGGAATGAGATTATGGTCTCTGCATCTCTTCAAGAAATTTAAGGCTGTTAGATATCTTGAGCGCTTAGTCTTTAGATCTTCTAATCGGCGTATTTTATTTGCAATTACCAGTCCATACTGGTTTACATAATGATTTATTATATTTACGCAAACACTACATTGAAATAATACTAGTTTTTACGCAATTTATCGCGTATATTTAACTTTTTAATACCCGACGTTTCGAAAGCTTTACAGCACCCATGGTCACGGGAAGGACTGAGATGTTCAACGTCCAGATGTCATAGTTAACCGCGGTTACCATAGATTAAAATTTAACTTTTGTTCCGATCTACACAGTATGAACTTATGGTATCATGAAGTCTTGCAGTTGTATGCCGTACGAAGAAATTATCTGTAGTGTCGAGGACTGTTTATTTAAAAACAATATGCGGAAAGAAGATTTGGAGGCGATACGTCAAGTCATTTCGTGTATGTTGCGTCGATGTTCAGTGCCTAAACCGAATCTTCCCAAAGACGAATTTATAGCGTTAAAGAACCTACGCAATAAACCAGAACTTACGATTCTCCGTGCAGATAAGGGAAACACCACGGTAGTCATGGATACGTCAGATTAGGATGGGCTCACCTGTATCTCCCATTGTCGCCGACATATTCATGGAAGACTTTGAGGAGAAAGCCCTGCTTAGTTCTCCCATAAATCCAAGATTCTACAAGCGGTACGTAGACGACACTTTCACAATTCTACCTTTAGACAAAGTAACTGCATTTTTAGACCATCTTAACTCTATAAATTCTAAAATTCAGTTCACAATGGAGTTAGAGGCAAACAATTCCTTAGCTTTTCTAGATGTGTTAGTAATTCGGAATTCTGATAACACCTTGAGCCATACTGTGTATAGAAAAAAGACCCATACAGATAGATATTTAAACGGTAATCACACCACCATCCTTCACAGTTAGCTACCGTGGGTAAATTTTTGTTTCAGAGAGCAGAGGGATCTGTGACAGTAAACACCTGGCTGCCGAGCTCCAACACGTCAAGCAAGTTTTGCATGACAACAAGCTTCGGGTCCCGCGCCTACGTCACAGAGAACGAGTGAAGCCGGCCACAGTCGAGCGTGTACCTGCTGTACTGCCATATGTTAGAGGAGACACTGACAAGATTGGCTACATCTTGAAGCGCGCTTCCATCAAAACATACTTCAAGCTGCCGAAGAAGATTGGTCAGTTTTTACCATCAGTCAAGTGTAACGTCCCTCTGCAAGATGCAGGAGTGTACAAGCTTGATTGTGAATGTGGTCTCTCCTACATAGGACAATCTAAAAGATCAATTAAAACCCGCGTTAAAGAACATATAGCTGATGTGAAGAATCGACGCTCCGGGAAGTCTGCAGTCTGTGAACACGTACAGGATCGCCCCCGTCACTACATCAGATTTGATAGACCACAAATCCTCGCTAAAGAACATCGATTCCTTCCAAGGATGATTCGCGAGGCTATTAAAATCAAAAAACATCCGAATTTCAAAAGAGAAGATGGCTGGGTGCTACCATCTGCTTGGGATCCTATAATAAATAAAATTAAATCCCAAACCAAGCATACAACTGCAAGTCTTCATGATACCATATGTTCATACTGTATAGATCGGAACAAAAGTAAAATTTTAATCTATGGTAACCGCGGTTAACTATGACATCTGGACGTTGAACATCTCAGCCCTTCCCGTGACCATGGGTGCTGTAAAGCTCTCGAAACGTCGGGTATTAAAAAGTTAAATATACGCGATAAATTCCGTAAAAACTAGTATTATTTCAATGTGTAGTGTTCGCGTAAATATAAGATATCATTGTGCATTCTGGCTCCCTGCGTATCTAAGTTTTGGAAGAAGGTGGTTACTTGTTCTGTAAAAATTGTAAGTGTGGTTATGTAGTCCCTCTACCTAGGCCATACCGTATAATTCCAGATTAAAATATGTCATAAATTTTTTTGTAATCACATAAGATACTGGCAGAGTGCGGACCGCGAACTCAAAAGGTCGTGAATTTGAATCAGCTATTCATTCGACTACTGACGTACCTACACATTTTCTAACACAATTATTTTAAGCTTACCTGGAGTTGTTAAAGGTAATAATACTAACATTAGTAATGGTTAGTATTTCCAAAAAAATGTGTTTAAATTTTATAGGAGCATGTATGACCAAAATTCCACGCTAGTCGTTATTTGTACGGTTTTTAGGAACTATCTACTTGTTTTTAAGAAGGTATATCAACTAAAAATACATTAAAATTCTACAAATCTGGAATCCATAAAATCCAATACCAGTTTTTTAAAAGGAGTAAATATCTGACTAATCTCCGTACTAGGAAACCAGAGAAATGTGAAATAATTATTAATAACATGCGTCTCCTCGTAAATTAAGCATTATTTTAATTTGCGATTGGCACTAATGGATAGGCAATTTACTAAAGAACATTTTGGTAAATTTAATTTTTTTAAAAGACCAAAATTTTATTTTATAAAGAAATTATTTTAAATTCTGGACATATTCACTAGCCGCGGGGTAGCGGTTGTGAGCGGTGAGTGACTAGTTCTCGAGGGTGAAACATATGTCATGTAACCGCGTCAATCAGATGTTAGGCTCGGCCAAGTCACATAATCAGTAGATAATATTATTAGCACATCTTTTCTTTTTATGTATTCTTTGTTTTGGGTACAGTTTTTTGTGTTATTTAGTAACTGTGTAGTTTACTGCGCTAAGAAGCATATTTGTGTGTATTTAGAACTACTGAGTTTTGCGAAAAGACGCTAAGTGTTTTATATACGACACACAAAATGTCGAAGTACAAGAAAGTTTTGCGACAAAGACGTGCAAATGCAGCTAAGAAGTGCGAAATTCGGTAAACTGTCTCGTAATTATATTCTCAATAATAGTGAGATTATTAGTTATTTATCGTATTTTTTAAATCATTACGAATATGAAACTGCAATTTATTTATAAATCTATTTATTTATTTATTTATAGCTGGAGTCGAAAAGGACAAAATGTTTATGACCGAACAACAACATCTGAAAATTATCAACAAAATTACATTGGCCTACATATGTTCCACTGCTGGGCAGAGGTTCCCTCTCATTTTTGAGAGGGTTTTAGGGGAAGAAAATATCTGCCGCGCTGCCCCAATGCGTATTAGCGAACTTCATGTCTTTGAAATATTTTTTTTAATTTCTCAGTCATGCAGGTTTCCTTACGATGTTACAATAACTATTAAAATTAACTATTTACAATTAACTATTTCACTGGTGCCGGCGTGAATTGAACCGGGGTTGCTCGCGTACTGTGTAATTTACAGCGAGCGCTAACCATCTGAGCTACCACCGCTCCGACCTATTATATTATAAACCTTCTGAAAAATATTCTAAGACGTCAGTAGTTAGTAAAGTAATAAAATTTCATCATAGTCATATTATATTTTTTTTATCAACAAATAAACTTGAATCTTTTTGTCATGCGTAAAACTTATGAAACTACAGATATGGATACTCATATATTCAGTACCTAGGTACTTAGTTTAGTGCTTGTCATGAATTGATTTTTGTGTGTAAATATTTGAGATTAAATGTATATTAAAATGAATAATCTTTTATAGGATAATCACAATCTCTCCTTATGGAAACTTCTTATATTCAACCGATGGAAATACGCAATAATGAGTAACTTATTAGATATTATTGATGATTGCAATCACATATTTTGAACCACCCGGATCAAACTATTGACAGGACCTTTATAACTGTGACCTACGATTGAATGTTTGCACAATTGTGAATGTAAAAGTATTTAGCAGATAGGCTTTTTCTTCTTATTATTCAATATAATCTTGACAATCACTTAGACCAATTTTTACTAGCATTATAAGGCAAAAACTCCTGTGTGTCAATCAGCTTGAGATAGACATGGATACAAGTTATAACTCCAAAAATAGTCCAGGAGGAATTGACCCATGAGTACCAAAATATATTCCACCTATACTTTTTCATGCGTAATTAACTTTATCGTAAAAAATCATATGACCGTTTTTATTCGTATTTCATCAAAAATATAAAAATAATGTTCCGTTTGAAAATAACAATTCCTTGCAATTGAAAAAGAGTTGCCCCATGGCAACATGCATTTATGTCACCGGTAAGATAAATTGAAAAGAATCGCATAAAAAATTGAGGTAGAACAGATTTCAGTACTCATGCGCTGATTCCTCCTGGAATAAAAATCTGTTATCATTATCATTATGCAAAATATTTTTCTTTTGCAGTTTACGAAAGGGCTCAACAGAAGACTTGACAGAAGATGAAAACTTTGAAGTAATCAATGAAGACATTCAAGAATTCAGCTTTGGTCAATCGGTCATCCCCGTTGCTCGTGCACGACAACATGCGACTTTATACTGCATAACAGATGGTCTTCAAGCTACAAGCTGGGTTGGAAGCTCTCCGTTATCTATTCGCCGTATTGACCAGCCTTTGTCTACTTTTTCCACAATTTTTATATCTTTTTGACGGGAAAAAAAAATTCAATACCCGAGTGGTAGTACAAAATGCATTCGAAGAACTTGTTGCCTCCATCCAGCTGAACGGGAGGCAACAAGTTCTTCTTTCGTTTCTCAAATTCAATAAAGATATAGAAGATAAAGAATATTGAAAAAATCAGCTGATTTCTTCAATAATGGCATTGGATTGCATACGTGATTACTTTGATTAATAGAAATAAAAAATATAGAACATTTTTTAATCAATTTCTTACATTCGAGATAGTAAAATTTACCTTATATTTTATTGTGTTCTACTTTTATTAATACCTACCCAGAGTTCCTAATCACAAATAATCACAATACATCAGTAGGTTTTGTGATTGGGTAATAGATACCTAATTAGTTACTAATAACTGTCAAGTACATTTAATATATAATATGTACATGCACATACATAAGTGTATATGTAATTATCTTATCTATGTACTCATATACCATTCTATATTATGCATCTTTATTTCTAATTTATGGTTTATAACAAAGATAATGTTATTTTTGTCGCCAAACCACACACATGTTTTTATTGTTTTCTTGCAATCCTGTCCATCCAAAGATTGTCTGGAAAGATCGCTATTAGCGATAAGACCCCCATTGTACCACATTTTTTCTCTCCTTATTTGTTAGTATTTGTTGTTATTTTTAGCGTGCAATAAAGTGTTATCCATCTATCTATCAAGTATTGCACACATTGCCGTCTCAGTACCATATTGGCATCATTTAACCCAACCCAAAAATCCCTATAACCCTTCTTGTTGTTTTTTGTATTATGATATAACCCTTTTGTGTAAATAAATATAAGTATGATTCTTTTATATTTAACTTCATCTATTTGGGTGAGGATGATGTTAGTAAAAGTAACAAGCAGGCTAACTCACAAAGTTTTACCTATTGCTTAGTTCAATAATTTGTAGGTATGTCTATACGTGATAAAATTAACAATGATCAAAAACCCGTTTGTGAAACATCAACTAAATAATATACCTGCCTACCTGCCTATTTACGAGTACCTAAAGTGAGGTGCCGCATTTCTCATGTTAGATTAGAAACCTTCCCGGGCGTTCGAAATGACTGGTGTCGTTTTTATTGTAATCAGATAATAATATACTATATTACATAACTCTAATATAATGTAAAAATAAAAAATGAATATATACCTGAAATATATTTATAATGAATGTATATGTATTTATCACTGTCTGCCATGTATATTTCCACGAAAGTTTATGGATATAGTAGTTTATTGATGTTGACAAAATAAATACTACGTTCGTACAGTAGGTGGTGTCTTGCGGATTTCTTACGTCTTAAGCGAGAGCGCTGGCGAAGCATGGTCATTCATCGTGAGGTACTTTTTTCAATGGGGATTTTTTTACAGCTCATGCGTGAATAGTGTCAAGCTGTCAGTTGCAGTTTCACTCAGTATTCAAATGGTTTCAAATTCAATTTCAGTGAATGGGCTCTTGAACAGCTTAATAATGATCCGCTGTTTTATCGCAGAACATTTGTTTATTGATGAGGCCTATTTCTAGCTAAATTGATAAGTCAATAAGCAAAATTGTTATTTTTGGGCTGATGAAAAACCTGAAGAATATCAAGAGCTACCGTCACATTCGGAGAAATGCATGATTTAGTGTGGTTTATGGACTGGTGGAATCATCGGTCGGTGAAATCTATTTTATTCATAAATGGGGATGGCCGTAACGTAACCACCAATGTCAATGGCACCCATTATCACGTCATGAAACGGAGTATTTGCTATCTGAAATTCAAGCCCGCAATTTCGGTTACATCTGGTTTCAACAAGATGACGACTATCCATACAACGCATGAAACAATGAGCGTGTTGAGAAACCATTTCGGTGAGCAGCTGATTCCACGTTTTTGGCCAGTGAATTGGCCACCTCTATCGTGTGATAACTTTTGGATTATTTTCTTTCGGTTTACGTAAAGTCTAAAGTCTAAGCGGATGAACTAGCTACGATTGATGTCTTGAAAGCAAACATTACTCGCGTTATTGGCCAGATTCTAATGATAATGCTCGAACAAGTTGTTCAAAGTTGGACCTATAGAATGTACCATTTGAAGCGTAGCTACGACCAACATTTGAATGAAATAATTTTCAAAAAATAAATGGTATCTATTTTTCTTTCGATTCATATTTAAATTTTTACCATCACATTCAAATTTATGTGTTTTATTTTAAAATATTTTTCAGAACCTCACGATAAATCATTCCTTATATATAATTCTTCTGCACTTGTGGTTGTCACTGAAGTCCACTTGAACGGCAAGATCAATTTTGATGGATTTTTGAGTGTATTTGAGTGGTCTTGTGGATGGTTTATATTCACAATTGGGTCTGGTAGATGACGCTGTTGCTGAGATTATGAAATGACCTATGTGACACCGGGAGAGATCACTAGTTTACAATTAAATGTGTGTTGTTTAAAATTAATTTAATAATAGGAAGCTGAATATTTATCATTCTTCTAAGATAGTTGTAGATTGTAACCATATCTTAACGTTTACAAGGAAATGTGACAAATAAACTCACAGTCCACTTGATTTTAAGTGTATGTTCAAACCCGTAATCATTTATTTTTAATTTTGATAAAAAAATAACATGCAGATTTATTGTCACCATACAGGACTACTAGGTTACAAATTTGGTTCTTCTCACTAACAAAAATATAATAAAATATTTCCTACATAACAGCTTTTTATGTTGGTACTAAGACATAGTGTATAGAAGAATTAAGGCCTGAAATACAGAAGTTACTTCTACAGCCCATCAAGTTTACTATTGTTACGCGCTCAAGTCGACGATACACTAGCGCCATCTAGTGTCAGGAACGAGAGCGAGGGGAGCATTGAGAAAATGACATCACAAATCACTCAACCGACAGCGCCTAGTCGAAACTCGAACGCTCGGTACCTTGCGCGTGTTTACTTGAACATTCTGAATATTTCTTTGCTAATTTAAATAAGTAGGCGCTGCAAGATGCGATCGGGGCAGAGTTGAACTCGGCGACACAAGCGAAGCTTCGGAGCGGAATTAAGTGAATTAGTGTGTTTAATTATTAGTGTTTTTAGTTTTAATTTGTGTAAAGTAAATTAAAGTGTTAATTTAGGTAATTTTATCGGCAATTTTTATTGTCACGAACCTCAAGCTCGTAACACTATTAAGAATTTACTCCTTATTTCTTCCTTTTAAAAATTAAATAGATATAGGTGTTTTGTCACCTACATCTATTTTATTTTATCACCACCATCACAGCCTACCAAATTCTACTGCTGAATGTAAACTAACTCTTGGGGAATTTTTAAATTCATATTAAGTCTAAATATTAACTAAATTGTGATGATTTTAATAAAAATCTGTCAATATTTATATACCCAAGTTACGAAAAGGTTAGCACTAAATTGCTAGAACTATAAGTCACAAATGATCCACTCTTACGAAGCTGTAGTCTTCTTTCTTCTTTAGATGACATCCCATCTTCCATTATCATATGACAATATTATAACAACAATAAACAACACCGACCTTAATTTATTGTGCCTGACGGATAACACTCTGGGTTATTAGTATCTAAATAATAAAACTTTTTCGTTTACTGCACTGGCGTAAAAGTTAATATTACATATAATATACACCGTAGCTTAGTTTGGCTAGCAGCCAAGAACATATTATTTACCTAAAACACTGTTTAAAGTAAACCTATGAAGGTAACCATTCAAACTGATTTAAAAATGGTAATCATTGAAAATCAAATATTCACCAATTAAAAAGATTTTTAAAACGAAAACTGACATTTTTATGGTTACTGTGGTAACATATTATGTTTCTTTGTAGAGTTACAATATTATAATATGTTTAAACAAAATAATTTGGACACCGAAACTGTATATGTAAGCTTATTAGTGTTTATTTAGCCAAAATGGACCGATAACTATATTTAAGAAAACGCAAAACCTACTAAAATTTAGACAATACATATTATGACATTCTCGTTCTGAATACTGTATGTATCACCTTACCTTACAGGAGTTACACTGCATACGCAAAGATAAAGATTAAATAATAAATGCAGAATGTGTACTAATAGTAAATATCTCGTAACCACTGTCTAGATCATAATTAAGTGATTATTAACACCTGGGAATAAGGTGATCGATACTACGCTGTTTTCAATCAAAAATTCAATTGGACTTCATTTTATCTATACATATAATAAATCTGTAGAAGCACGACTTTTCTTCTGTAATTCTAATATTTTCTGGAAAAAATGTCAGCTAAATTAGTGGTTTTTAGAATTTTTGTCTGTCTGTCTGCCCGTCTCTCTTTCTGTCTGTATGTCTGTCTGTCCGTCTGTGTATTAAAGATTCAAGTAAAAGCTACAGAACAGATTTCCATGAAATTTTGTGTATAAATAGTTAGAGACCCGGGGCTACTTATAGGCTACTTTTTATCCGATAAAGGAACTATAAAAAAGAAGGGTTAAGTATTTTCCTTCCATTAGATGTTAGTTTCTATTTTATACGCTCGAAAAAAATTAAAATAAACAAAATGTTTATCAATAAAGCCCAAAATTAGTTTTAACCATTGCTTAATAAATTGAACAACGCCAACAATCTACGATATTATTGTTGTATTCACTTTTTCAAGACAGTGCCATCTGACGTAAAATATATAAAGTTTTTTTTATATAGACATAAACTGATAAAAATTGCAATTGGTACAAAATTCTTATTATCCTTATATTTTAAATAAAAGATTTTATATATGTATTGGTCAGATCTTAGAATTTATAATATCATAAATTAGTCGATTATTGAAAGTGTATATTATGATATAACTTGACCAAATCAATAAATAGATATTGTTTGGCGATATTAACAACTATACACGATATTGGTATTTCTAGATATTATTGTTATGTCGTAAAATATTTTTATTATATACTGCTAGTAGCGCTGATTGCCTATATTTAATAAAAGTAGAATTTTTAATAGATTCTAAATACCTTTATTCCAAATTTATATATTATATAAATCGTAGCGGCTTTGCTGTTGGATAGAGTCACTCAAGTAGCACCTCAACTTATTGCGTTTGAGTACTATAGGGTTAAAGTTTTGGTTGTTAAAGTTTTAATGAAATAATAGCGCCATTAACTTACTGCTAAATAACCTAATATTAAGTACATAACTGTTCAAATTAAACACAATTCTATTAAATATATACTTATTGCTGCAGCATCAAAAATTGTCAGACCGGTATATACCGGTGGCCACTGTCTGAATTATATATCATTATTGTCAATTTTAGTAAAATACTAACAAAACTGTGTACAAAAAATTTTGATTAAGAGAGAAGATTTTTAGTTGAATATGTTGTGTGTCTATCGGCATAGCAATATTTTATCAATTTCTTTTTGTATCAAGTCGGATATAAGTAACTGAAAATAAAATGCACTGTGAGATTTTATCCATAATTGATGAATAAAATACCGTTCGTAACATCGTTGACGCAGCCTTTTTAATTTTAAGATATTTTAAAAAAATTGTCATAAATTAAGATAACCTTCATATATTCAGACATAACTATTAAAATGTTTGTGACAGTCCCGGTTTCATAGGTCACATGAGTAAATGAACAGGCTCTTGTGAAAGAGTACTTACTATAAGTATCAAAGAAAGTAAATTTTAAACACGGATTTATTTTTATTTAAACTATAAGTGAAACTGCATTGATAGAATCTTGAAAGTTATCTGTATAAGCCAGTAATCAAACCAATCTAAACGTAAATTTAGTAGTTGGTACGTAAGCAACTCAAATTAGATCCGCGCCGACTTCACTCATATTTTCATATTTAAACTGCTACTTTTTTGTTTTTAATAGTGCTATTCCCTGCTGATCATGGGCTTCCCCCATTGTTTGTCGAATAGACGGGTATTTGCAGAAGTATTCACGCT